CACCTTGACATGGTCACACACTTTTTCTACAATCATCTGGAAAGAAAATGTGATCCCATCTTTTATTTCACTGAGAAGAGGCATATTGACCTACAGTTTCCACATTCACTTTGTTTGCCTTTAGTATTTATTGGAAATATAACATGGTTATCTCATTCTTGTGAATACAATGAGGTCTCAAATCTTTTGGAAAACTATAGTCTGCCTTTCGACCTACATTGCAAGTCTTCATCAGGGCTTTATCCCTACAATGCCGGAAGACTCAATGGCACTGTTGCCTTGAATCTTCACTATCTTTATGTCACAGTGCCTGGAGTTTTCTGGGGTTATAGCGTGAATATCCTAATTAAGGCCTACAGTATTGTTTGAAATGTATGCTATGAATAAATATTACACCAACATAGTGTGTAATTGTTGACTGCACCCCATCCAAAAAAAAAAAAAAAAAACTAATCCTTAAATTGAAAAAAAAACTTTATAAAAGTTGAGCCAATTATTTTTTCCATAATCCTTTAATTATTTTCTTTTATAAGTTGACATTGCAGGATTTTGTCCCCATCTTCGAAAGATATGTTGAAAATTACAATAAAATAAATCTATGTCAATAAAACTGATAAAAATTATCTAGTCACATTTATAGAAACTTGGCCAATAGCCCAGCTCTTCTTTTTACTTACATTTATCTCTAGATAAATTGAGCTTAAGTTAAGGTCAAGTTTTTACTTGGCCTGCGAAAGCAGAGGTTTTATTGATGTAACAACAGGATATTTTTTATCAGTTTTATTTACATACAGTGGGGTACTTGCATGGAAAAATATCGCACACAAATTTGAGCTGATAATTTGTAAGATCGATTATATATTATATGTTATTAATATATAAGATTAGACTACATAATAAAAAAGCTTCTCATATAGTTAATAACTTCAAATAACAATGCATTGGTGAGGTATGGTGGGGACTGGAGAAGTAGGAGAATCCCTAGTATACATATGTTAAACACAATTCTTTCCCACCTCTCTCAGGTCTACTTCAGAAACTTTTTTTTTTTTTTTTTTTTTTTTTTTTTTTTTTTTTTTTTTTTTTTTTTTTTTTTTTTTTTTTTTTTTTTTTTTTTTGATGAGTCACATTTCTTCCTTTAAATATTATTTTATGAAAATAATTTTTAAAAATTAATAAGGTTCTTCCTTACATAAACTGTCATTTAAAAATTTAAATAACTTTTTGTTTTTTTAGAAACTGTTTTCTGAAAAGACAAAATAAAAATCTTAGATGAAAAATTTGGATAATTTTTTGTATTTTAATTTGTATTATATAAATTTGAATCTCTGTATATTGAACTTCTATATATCGATGATCTCTGCGTATCAAACTTTTTTAAGGAACCTTTAATTTTTATTAGAAAAAATATTCTGTATATTGGATAAAATTGGTATATATTGAACAAATGGCCATTGTTGAAAGTATAGGAACAGTTAATTAAAAACTTATTGGACTTATTTTTCCACTCAAAATATGTAAACAAATACAAATTTCTTTATCAATATTAAGTTTAGTTCACTTTTTTAAGTAAACCAATTACAAAGTATGATTTCTTTGTTTTATCCAAAAATATGACGTTGCATAGTTACATGATCCACCAGGCCAGATGAATTAGAAATTAAAGACAATATACAGTTCACAGTTATTTATTCAGTTATAAAGATGGATAAGATTGATAAAGTAAATAAATTGACAAAAAAGAGAGGTATCATTGAAGGTAAATTACAAGATTTCCTAACTATATTGACTCTTTAGAAGATGAAATTGATATAAATGAAGTTAAATAAAGTACCAATGATATTATGAGAGTTAAAGAAGAATTTGAAGTTGTTCTAGACAAAAATAAGAGCTGTTGTTTGAAGAAAGAAATGAGAATGAAGAGTATGAATAGTCTGAGAAAAACATTATAAAGCTACTATTTTAGCAAACTCATAGGGATTAACCAAGACAAATGTGAGAATCCCAGAGAATTCCATTGAGGTGAAGAGATTATTTCCACACCAAGACAATGTACAGAGAATTAAAGTGCCTATGTTTTCAGTTTAGTGTGAGGATTGGACCAATCCAATTGGTTTTCTTATAAAAATTGTTTAATTCAATTTATCTAACATTCATAAATTTCATTACTTGAAGACTTCACTCTGTGGAGAATCACTTTAACGAATGACAAGTTTGGAGTTATCATATAAAAAGTTTGAAAATGTATAAGAAGAGCTCAAGTGCAGATGTATAAATAATAGCTGAAAGACATACCAAGATGTTCAATGAAGCTAAAATGGAAAAAGAATCTGCTCAACAATTAAAAATAATTAATAACTTCGTGATCTATGTTTGTATTCTAGAATTGTTAGGATAATGAGAATCATTAAATTGCCCAATAATGAGATATCTTATTGAAATGTTTAATGAAATCTAAATTATTATAGAATTTGGATTGGGTTCCACTATTACCATTGCATATTTGAGAACCCTGGGAAGCATTTAAAGAACTGAAATTTTATAAGATACCCCGTCAAATTCAAAGTGAAGGACAATTAGCAGAATATGGGAATTGGACAATGGAGAAGCAGGGCATAGGGAGGATTGGCTTTGTTGTGGAGGTCAAGGCCCTACGAGGACTGTAGAACCACGGAAGTAAGTACCTCGTCAAATTTTCTGAGCAGATAGCATTCATCAATTCTGCAATGCTTTGGAACAAGCATAAGGAGCCTGTATTTATGTAAGAGCAACTCTATAAAAAAATCTATCTAGAACGTTGTTTTGAATTGTGTGGGGTAGTAATGCTGGCTACATTGGATGTGTTAACTCCCTCTTAGTTTATGTCAAACTTCGAATGAAGCCTAACTATTTAATTGTGATTTAATATAAGGGGGGAAAAAAAAAAGAAAGAAAGTGGACTGTATCTTCAAACATTCATTTTGGAACATTTACGAAATCTGATATTGAAAACATAAAAACAAAATGAATCAATTTTACACTTGTTAGATAGGTAAAAAAAAATAACAAACTTCTAGCATAAAATAAAGACCAGCTGAACAAACAATTGTGACAATATTAATGAAATATTTTCATGCTTGATCATAAAAAAAACTATTTCTATGGCCCAAATTACAATAAAAAAACTAAAAAAAAAAACTTCTCTAGAGTCCTAATATGAAATTTATATATATATATATATATATATATATATATAAAACAAATAATTAGATTGTACAACGTTACGTGGACGAAGCAGGACGTTTGTAAACCTCTGTCTCTATGCAGAAACCAATTGTAACTCTTCAATGAGCGTGCTCAAAACGAACTGCAAATGGGCAGCGGCGAGGGCTCGACGAGAGAAATTCACTCTCAAGTAGAACCGCAGTGGGCAGTACATGAAGTTGGCAGGACTCAGCTCTAGTGACGGACGGAGTCAGACTGTCTATTGTCAATTCTACCGCCTTATGACTTGAACCTAGCACTTGTTTATAGCTAGTGCTACAATCCATAACAAAGTAGTCCAAGTATAAACTATTGATCTATTTAATATAAACAATATAAGCTATGGGCCTATAATACTTAATATACACATATCTTATACATAAATATACATATTATTAATTGATTTCACTTTGCTAAAATAAAACAAATCAACAATTAATCAAACTAGTTAAGTGTAAAATAAAATGAATTAACGCTGTGGCGTTTTTAACTGTAAAAATAAAATAAATTAAGGCTGTGGCGTTAACAGGATGAAATGGTAAGATCAGCTTTGAACCATGTTGTTGTTTAGGGCTTAGAAGCGTAAAACCCCGAGGTCATCAACTCCTATCTAATATTTATTTCAATTAATTCAGTAATAAATTATTATGGAAAGAAAGGGAAAAAATAATAAAAAAAATTAAATTTTGTTTAGTAAATCATTATCTTAAGAAAATTTATCACTGATTTTATTTTATCTTAGTCATTAGTTAAAACTATCGATAACTTTGGTACGAGCCCCAATTTGTTTAGAATCATTACCTAATAAGAACGCTCTTGGAGAATGTGGCAGACTGGGATTACCACAGCTATGTTGGCATTTTGGTGCAAGTTGTTTGCTTAACAAATAGGAATGAGGCAGGTTTGTATGTCTTATTCTTAGTATAGTTAAGGCAATTTCTGTTATTAATAGCCAATACTAAAATTCCGCAGGGACGATCCTGTAAAGAGAACCTCCTATACCGAAAAATTGCAAAGTAAACTAAGAGCATTGAGTCTGGAGGGTGATGTGGAACATCAGTGGTTCCTGTATCTTGGAAGTGGCAAAGTTGGCATAAAATATCAAACAAATAGAAGCGTACTGAATGGTGGAATGAAGAGATGCGCCACGTTGTCCAATTAAAGCTAAATAAATGACCTAATAAATGTCAGAAGAGGGAGGAGTATTTCACTTTTTACTGAAATGAAGACACTTGTTTTTTCTGCAGAGAATTCGAGACCAGTGGGAAGGGACCAGTTTTTTATTCTATTTACAACTTCCTGTAATTTATGCTGGATAGTGGCAATGTTGTTAGAATGGCATGCAATGGATAGATCATCTGCGAAGAGTAGATGCTTGATGCCTCTAGGGTTTCGAACCATGATGTGATAGAATATATTTTAATTAAATAGAATATTTTAAATGTGATCTGATTCCAAAATTCTATTTAGTTTCAACTGTTTTCATCAATTAAATGAAATATAAAGTATGATTTCTTTGTTCTTACCAAAAATACAATATTTAATTACAATCTCAATATGTGATTGTAATATGTTAGGTATATTTTGAAGATGGGAATTCTAACTTAGAAAGTCATCTTATAAAAGAAAATAATAAAATGTTTATGGAAATCGTATTTTTCAACTTTTTAATATTAATATAGATTTTCTACAAATTTAGCAAGAAGATTATAAAATATTTCACATTTCTTCATAATTAAATTAAAATTATTTTTTAGGTAGAGCAGCCTTACAAAAGAGGATTATGACTTTACTTCGAAGAATTGAACATTGTGTAAATGGAGTGCAACCTGTAAGAGACGTCTATTTATATGTTTACTTTTTCCATTCTTTTTTAAGACTTATATTAATTATTGGACTTTTTGGTTTCTTCTTTGCAAATATAAATTACTTCATGCATTTTTTTTTTCTTTTTGGCTTTTTCCCTGTCTTATAAAAATTTGTAACAATTTCTTTCATAAATATTATTTTGTTTTCTGTTTTACCATATTTTAAATTAATAAATCAATATTTACTTATAATAATGCTACTATATCGTTTTATACTTATGAAAATCAAAAATGCAGACTGTTTTGCTTCATTTTCTTTAATCAGCTTATACTTCCTGACTGTGACGTTTCCATGCCTACTACTGAAATTTTTTTGAATAATGGCACAAATGAACTAATAAAACAGCTTATTGCGAAAATAGAAGCTACAGATACCCATATTTTCTCTATACAGCACTCCAGAAGTTGAAGTAACTGTTCTTATCACCATAGTAATAGGAAATGTGTCAGCAGATATCACAGTTGCAGCCTTAGCCATGGGCACTTTGTTCTGATTGGAAAATATTGCTTGTATCATCACCGTTTTGGCAAAAGAAGTGCCAGCAACTTTACCAATGGAATCAGAAGAAAAACGAGAGCCTGCAGTAGAAGTAGCAGCTCACTCTACTGCTGATATGTCCTGTATTCTTTCTCATTCACAAAATAAAATTATCATTTCAGATTTTAAATTATATGCATCTAATAGCATGGTGATCCCCACGTTTTGGTGTGCATGTTTTTAATATCAACTTGGGACTTTGTCGTGATTTCAGATGCCATTTTATTGTAGCTAAGATAAACAGAGCTACATTAGGTGCTGATTTTTTACATCATTTCAACCGTTTGGTTGATTTGAGAAACAAGCTACTAATTGACGGCAAAACCAAATTAGAAGTTAGCGGTTACGTTATAGCAGTCAATACTTATTAACTTTGTTAACACTGTTTCTACAGCTCATAAATTTTAAGAACTGGTCAACCAATCTATTCCTATCCTAGGCTGTTTGATACAAAAAAATTAGCTATCACAGAGGAAGTATTCCAATTCATGCTAAACCATGGATTAGTAGGGCCCTCCTTGTCTCAGTGGTTGAGTCTACTGCACTTGGCACCCAAGAAGGATAGCTCAATGCATCCATGTGGTGATTTTAGGTGTCTAAATTCTCAAAATATTCCTTTTTAGAGCCAATATCTATAATTATGGATTTTAGCACATTCTTAAACAAAAAAAAAAATAAATAAAAAAATAGATTTATTCAAGGCCTATTTTCAGATTCCAGTTGCAAAACAGACAATCCATAAACATCTGACAATCCACAACCATTTGGTATGTTTAAATTTAATATAATGCCTTTTGACCTTTGAAATGACCTGAGCACTTTTCAGTAATTCATCAACTAAAAATTCCATTGCCTGAATTTCATGTTTCCATACCTGGATTAATAGCTGGCCTAATAGCTTCAGATTCAGAAGAGGATCATCAATATCACCTTAAACTTGATTTTGACTATCTTAAAAAATATGGACTTCACATTATTTTTTCAAATTTGAAATTCGATGTACAAAAATTTGGTTACCTGTTTACCCCTGATGGTACCAAACCACTGTCTGACCGAGCACAAGCTATTTAGGATTTTAATCTCCCTAAAACTATTGCTGGGCTTTGCAAATTTCTTGGTATGATTATTTTTTATAGAAATTATCTACCTGAAGCTTCTAAAACTCAAGCTTTTCTCCATGAATACACAAAAGGAGTTCACAGAAAAAGGAAAACTGCAAAATTTCTTGAACTCCTGAGGTCATTTTCCAATTTGAGAAATGCAAAACCAACTTAAAAGATGCATCAATGCTCTGCTACCTCTATGCAGACCTACCTTTGGTTCTAGTTATTAGCTAGGCTTAGTTATCTGACCAAGGTCAACAATTTTATGTCAGCATATTCAAAAACTTAAGTTATTTATGTGGAATCAAATTGTAGAGGACAATTCTGTACCATCTTCAATGTAATGGGAAAATGGAAAGACTATACTGATCCCTGAAAACTGCACTGAAAGCAAATAGTTCACTATAATGGTCGGAAGCCCTACCAAGAATTCTTCTGGGTTTAAGGACTTCATTCAATCCTGATACTGGTGTCTCCGTTTTTGGAACACTGAAGCGAATCCACAAGGCTTTCAATGGCAGAAGCTTGGATTTTTTATATTCACTCCATAGCTAACAATATAAAAAATAAATTTGAATTCCTAATCTTTTGCAGGGTAATATGTCTAATTTGACTGGGCTATAATCTTCGTACAACAGAACTAGACCATTGTCCTACAATTATTGCTACTCTTGAAGAGACTAATGAACCCTGTTCGAGTTCTAGTACCTGTGAACCACTGATACCAACCACACATAGATGCCATTCAATGTAGTTTCCATCTCAATACCTAGAGAATTTTTTTTTACATTTTGTATTAAATTTGAATCTTTTGAGAAACATTTTCATGACTGTGTCTTTGGGAGGCAGTGTTGTAGAAGAAGCAGAACAATCAATAAAATTTTATTTTACTGATGGTGGATAATGGTTAACTGTTGAATGGAATATATTGTTGAAGAGAAGTTGGTTGGGGATTATAGTCATTGGAAGCACAAAGTAAAAATAATATAATTTATTATATAAATATAAATTAATTTATAAAAATATAATTTATTTTTACTTTGTACTTTCAATGACTGCAATCCCCAACCAATTTCTCTTCAACAAGATTTTATTTATTTTTATTAGCAACCGATATCAAGTGTGAACTCAATATCATATGTAATTAAAAAAGGTGCTAATTTTATTATTAAAAAATATTGGGTTGATAAAACAAAGTCTATATCTTTTCTTATAGATATTTATTTAACTTAATCAACCTTAAATTAACAATATTATTGCTTAACAACTAGTAATAGCTTCATTTAAACCTATGTCTGACCTTAGCCAGTATATAGAGCAAGCGATAAACTTGATTAAAAATACCATTTCTTGAGGCATTTATATCATGCAGTTCAGAAGAAAATAAAAATGGCTAATCTTAAAAATAACTTGTTCCTGTATCATTTTTATTTTTTTTATATTTTTGAATCTCTTAATACACCTTTTGCAAATGTCTTGACTAGAAGTTAGTTTATTTTAAACATTAAAACAATTTACAAAAATTGTAGTTTCAGAAAGTTATTGTTCATAACATTTATACAAATATATTACCATGTAAAACATAGTACCTTTTAGAGAATCTTCATTTTCAATTACTAAAGCTAGAGGATACCTATGTATGTTGCTGGTCTGCCTTAAAAATTATATTTTCTTTCATAGTTATATATTCAGAATATTCATGAATAGGGTAATTCATTGGGAGGAGGGAAGGAAAGTTAATTTACTATTTCTGTTGGAATCATTCCATATTCGTTTCTGAAATAAGTTCCTGGGTTTTTTTATTTTTTATTTACCATGTATTAAAATTGACAAAAAATATATTTAAAGCAACTTATGCAGTTTATGTATTTTTATATTATATAAAATATTTGATAAAAATTAGATTGTTTATATCTAGTTTTATTATAAATATACCTGTTTCCTCCAAAACAGAAGTGATTTTCTATTGATAAATAAGTTAACTCATATAATTTTATAATTTATCAGTTATTCCACTCATTATTAAAAAAAAAACTGTAAAAAATATAATAAACCTTAAAATGTTAGCTTTGGTAAATAACAATACGAAATATCTTTGCAACAACAAACATTTTTCTGTTATTCTTAGTTAATCTCTTTGCTATGTTATAGAACACAACATGTATATCATTACTTATGTTTTTATGTATCTACTTTTTTAAAAATGAAATACATGTTAAAAAAGAACACCATGAAGGGTTTTTACATTCAGTACTTTGTAAGGAAGTACTGTTTCTATGTCAACAGTTGTGCAGAGAGCTGATTGGGTCAGGATCTCATCTACCAGGTTTTCCCTCCTAAGTAATAAAGGGTACCCTCTTTATAGAGACTAGGTGTGCCACAAAAGGGTCTCCTGGGCCTTTGACAATAATACCACATTGCTTTCTTGACTGAGCTACTCCACTCCATTAAATATATGAACCCAGTAAAAATATTTTTTACAGGGTTGTATATTATATTATTAAACCAGATTTTTTATTGAAATTCAATATATTAAAGCTCAATTTAAATTTAGTTTGCATATAAAATGTTACTAATAACAAGATTCTTATGAAAGTTATGGAGTATAACTTATATTTCCTGAGTATTATAAATGGAACATTAAAATAAAATTATTTAAGTTAATTTATAAGAATTAACATAATTGTAAAATGTGGCTATTTGTCATTGTAACGAAGAATCTTCCTCTTGAAATTTAGACATGAAAAAAATAAGACTAAATTTTCAATAAATTGTTTTATTTGTATTATTATTTTATTTTATTTGGTCTAATAAAATGACTTTTTCTTCCCTAGAATTAAATTTAAAAAATGTGTTTTAATTTGATTTATTCAGGGTATTTTCTATGAAGTAATGTTTTTTTAGACAGAAAAATAAAATAAATCTAACAACTGGAAATACCTGCGTTTTGCTGGCGATGGTGGTTTGCGTATGGCAGACACAAGTCAATAATCCACTTTTTTGTTTCAAACCTCGACCCATTTGAAGATGGGTGAAACCTTTACGAAATAAAACTGGTCCATTCAAAGATTAAAACAATAAAATGATGATAATATTCGCTAACATTGAAAAAAAAAATTAAATCTGCCTACTGAAAGCAGCCAAGTTCACCAGCAAACATAATTCAAAAACCACTGTACCAGCTTCAAAATTTTACTCAAGATAAATGGAAGATCAAATAAATGAGACTATTACCTAATAATAGGATAATTGTTATTCTTTATTACGCATATATATTATTAGGTATCATATTCTCATCCACATTTCTTCCCTGCATGAATTC